TTATATAATATTATTATGTAAATATACACATGTAATATTATATTATATAGTCAGTTCATATTATATAATCATAATTTATTTGAAAAATTTAATTGTAGTACTTTTATTACATTATTATATTATTGTACTGTTTTTATATTTTCTTATTTATTATTATTTCTTATACCTAACAAAAATATTACGAAAATCCACTATAGTTTGTTAGGTACGTACCTATATGGATCTAATTTTTATCGCAGTCGTACGTCTATAGTTTATCTACCATAATATCATGTATACATGCTACAATAGCTCAATATTATTACCACGATTAAAATATAATTGTAGATAATATAATATTATATAGGTACCTATTATATCATTTACCTACATTTATCGATTTATCACATCGATATAATCGATTTCATGGGGACGTAGCGGACGTGAATTATAAATTTAATTCGTCACTTAGTCAGTGTATCCCTAGACGTTATTTAGTCGAGAAGGAGGTCGGAACTAAAAGTTTTTGTAAAAAAATAAAATAAAATAAATTATTTTTAACGGATATTCATATATGATTCATCATAATCTGGTTTCTAGTATTAGGTGGAAATGTTCCAATAAAATTTCAAAAAAATGTCCGAGCATTTTAGTAACTTCCAAAGGTAAGCTTAAAAAATGTTAAAAATGTATATTTTATATATTTATAATAAAAAAAAATAATCCAGTGGATTTCTGTTGTATTTATGTTAGGTATAAGAAATAATAAGAATAAGAAAATATAAAATATATATATATATATAAATAAAATATTATGATTACTTAATTATGGCAATTTAGACRATTTTGTATTTTTGGACTTTTTGTCCATATTAAAAATGTGTGGGACTTTTTGTTAGGCAATCAAAAAATGAATCCGGACTTTTTGTCTAACTTTTTCTATACCGGACTTTTTGTACCTGGACTTTTTTTCCTCGGACTTTTTGACCGATTGAAGTATTTTATACATATGTATATATTATATTGATCAATATAATAAACTATTAAGTATTTAATTATAATACAATTATAATAGCATAATTAAGTCCAAAGTTTCAGAATCCATAAAAGAAATTTAATTATATAACACAAATTAACCCTAACTTATATTTGGTTATTATCAATAATAATTAACGTTCTTCATAATATCAATGTTGATAACAATTAATTATTTGTTTAAAATATACCTACTATAAATACTAAATACCTACCTATACACACAGTTGCATTATCCTACGGGTTTTTGAAAAAAAATTATATATAAGTACACAATAATCGTCGGGACCGAACAAATAATATTATTCCAACAATATTGTAAAAGGTAGAATAAAATATACAATAGTAATCCTACAACAAAGGTCAAGTCCAAGTATTGACACGTTTCAAAGATATCGGTTTGCATTTGACGTTGAAGAATGATGCTTTGGATTTCGAGCGTTAAAAAAAAGCTACCCACCTCTCTGTATACATAAGGGTCCCGCTGTCAGAAAAAGGTATCAGGGCTCCCAGGTGCACGGGAAAACCACAATAATATAAATTGTTTGAACGAGCGGCAAAGGCAAATTGACGGCCAAACTGTGGGTGAAACCGWACAACAGTGGAGCACTCGTGTGATATGACAAGACAGATGAACATTAAAATGTCCCATTTAATTTCATATTTTATGGTTCCGGTTTWTAGAAAAATATTWATTTATTATCAATRCAGGACGCAGGTCGAATTGTATTGTTTACAACTTTTCATCTTCTACGGTGTACGGTGGATGTAAATATCAAATAATAAAACAATTGTTTCGGAATCAACTAAAAATAACAACAATAGTTTCTTTTGTTCACRATGTATATTATTTTGTTTTCAATTTTCGTTAACGATAAATATTTAATTTCCTTTTGATATGTTTCACGTGCAGGCACGCCAATCGCCTGATACCTATTCAGTATAAAGTTATGGGCTGGCAGAGGGGTAGAGGGGTCCGACTATAAATTACATGTGAATATAAACCAATAGAACACACTTGTTATAAATATATACCTCGAGCCATATAGGTATAATTATATCGGAAAAGAAGGGGGTTGAAAAATTAAAGAGCTGGTAGAWACACGGGAATGCGAATAAAACAAAGGTCAACCTGTAAATAATGAATTACGGATCAAGACAAAATGCTTGATAATTTCAACTTAATGTTGGACTTAACTATCGGACAAATTATAGGTTTCATATTACGAAAGGAATAACGGTAAAAAAAAAAAAAGAATAACATAGCACTGAATACATTAATTTTATATTATAATATAATGCTTTTAAGAACACATGTATTTATCTTTTTCGAAATATAAAAAATAATACAGTGTAGCTATGGCAATTTATCTAAACAAATATTATCGTATGATAACAAAAAATTGAATAGTTTTAAATAATAATTTAATATGTTCACTATATTAAGCATAATATATTATGGTATATAACTTGTAAATCAGTTAAACCGTTTTTTTATCTATAATAATATATATATTATTATTATATTTATAAGACACATCACATAATGTAATATGATAACTTTTTTTTTATTAATAACTATTAACTAATAATTTATTATGTCATTTGAATCTTTGAGTCATTATTAGAAGTAAAACCCATTTAGTATGTTAAAAATATAAAACCAGATGTTCTCTTTTTTATTCTTAAACAATTCTGCTTCAAAATAAAATATATTACAATAAGTAGACATTTCACTATTTAAAATTAAACTAAATTAAAACCCATTTAGTATGTTAAAAATATAAAACCAGATGTTCTCTTTTTTATTCTTAAACAATTCTGCTTCAAAATAAAATATATTACAATAAGTAGACATTTCACTATTTAAAATTAAAACTTACTATTCATTAAATTAAATATAATAAGTACTGAATATTTTCTAGTTCTGTTGAGTTTTAATTTAGTTTAATTTAGACACATTAACCATATATTTATATTTATTTATATAAAATGATATTAATATGTTATAGGTTAATACTTCTCGTATATAGCCTATACGATGATTAATCAATACAACGCCGGCAGTTTTTTCATTTTTTTCAAACAAATAAAGTTACACACAAAAAAAAATAAAAAAAATATAATTACACATGTTCAATATAACATATGTTTTTTTCTAATAATATTTAGACACATTTAGCATGTAAATAGCACTCTAGGCTATCGTTGTATGTAAATGTAGCCTCAATTTTAATAATTTTAAATTTATAATTATTACGTAATAAAGTGAACAGTGATAAACTTATATGAAAACTTAAAATCAAAATTGTTGACGGATACATGGATTCAAATTTTTAGTTAATCAATCAAAATAAAATCTAAACGGGTAATAGAGTGAATTTTTATATTATAGTTTCCTCTGTGTTTGTACCTACGTCTATGTCTGTAATAAAAAAAAAAATACAAAAAAATACGTAGTTTACTAATGATTGACGAGCATCAAGGCATACGTATACAACCTCTCTAATAATGGATAATAGACAATAGTAATATTTAAAATATTTAATTATTGTTATTATTCAATACAACGCAATATTTTGTTTCCTTAACAACAAACACAATAGTTATGAAGTTATTCATTATTATTATTATATTTTTTTTTTGTATTCAACTTTTATTATTTATGAGTTTGTAATAATAAAAAGTGTATGAGACTAAATCTTATTAAGTCTTATAATATTATATAAAGATGGAATATAATCTTAAAAAATCTGACCAGGTATGATTTTAAATTAATAACATCTTATATATTCAAGTAGGTAGATATAAGACATTAATATCATACAATTTGCCATACGATTGAATAATCGTATGGGAAATTAAAGGAATATAAAGCATCTACACTTCAATAACTCTGCAGTTAATGTGTAAATACAAATCATTAAGTATAATTTTATTTAGACAATTACATTTAAAAAATGATACTAATAAAGGTTTTTATTTGTTATAACATAAAGCTCATTAAATATATGTGAGTAATATACGTTGTAATATCTCCTCGCTTTGAATAATCACCTAACGTTTATTGTGTAATGAATAAATATAAAAGTTAATTAATCAAACTCATTTGTGTTGTACAAAACTTTTAATTATTTGTTGTGTGGTATATGTAATAAATAATAACTATTAAATGTTTGTATACATAAAAATAAATATAGAAAATCTTTATTATTTCAACATAATATTAATTATCAGCATAAAAAWATATAGGTACCTAAACAAACAAACAAAAAATACATATTTGACAAATGATTAGATTTATTAATTTTAATCTGTGTTAGAAGTTTGAAATATTATACTTCATGTTCTAGTTAGTATTAATATTTATTGAAAACCATCAATATTGAAATGAATTGTTAACTTTATATATCTATATTATAATAAAAGATTTTCGTTATGTCGCAATAATCATAATCATAAAATAAAATGTTCATACTATAATAAATTGATTAAATTACACTTTAAAATAAAAAACCTAGCGGGATACAATGCAAATATAGCCTTTCTAATTATATAACTATTACAAACCATATCAACGATTATTTCTAGTTAGAGTATCCCGAAATTATAACTGAATTAAATCAAACTATTATATCGAAATCAAATATATATGACGAGTATCAAAAATTGGTGAAAAACACTAACGAAAATATTAATAATTCTACCGAATCATTATACACGGATGTTGCAATGGTATATCCTATAAGCTCTTGGACATTTTGGTATAGAAATCCTTTAAAATTTAATTTAAAAGATCCATGGGAAGAATCATTGACCAAAATTGGAACAGTTTGTGATGTTACTCATCTATGGAAGTAAGTTAATAATATTAACGAAACGTTTTTATTCCGTCGGTTCAATTTAAATACAAGAAAGAATAAAAAATTATAGTATTCAAATTCAAATGATTCAACATTATAGGTATGTGGTAAATTATCGATTTTTATTAATGCAATTTGAAAAATAAACATCAAAATTAGGTAACTTTTTTTTAAAATTAGTAATTAACAAACTTTTTAAAGATATGCCTAACTCTTCTTACCTAATACTAAATTTTCATTATTTGAATTCACTATCTAAACTATGTTGAATTCGAACGGAACAATATGAATAGCCCAAAAATTTCTTTATCTGCGTCAATTTCGATGTTACTGGATATTTTAACAAGTGAAACTTTTAGTAATTTGTGTAAATTCATTAGACGAATTTTCATTTTTAACATAATAAGATACATGCAATAGAAGATAGAATGAGCAATTACTGTAATTCATATTAATTATAGATCAGTTCGGTGCCGACCGTCGTAGAGTAAACACGCATGTTACTCCTTATCGTTACCCGATAGCGTCATGCGTTTTATATTCAWTTACCTGCTTGTTGCGTAACTATATACGCGGCCATTCGATATGTATCGAAATAACACGCACAATAAACGCAATYTATCGTCATCTCTGTCYTCTCCAACAACTGACGAAAAGAAAAGCAAAATTTTTGTCACCCCAAATAGGTTTGCCGCCCTCGAGGATGGCACAACTTCCGAACCAGAGGTWTTCAGTCCACCCCCAGTTACAGATGAGCTACTAGTTCAAGGGGATAATTCAAAGAAAACGTCTACTCAACCGACCAGCGACGGATCTAGCCACAGCGCTCCGACAATCTACATTAAAAATGTCACTAACTTCTCAAAGCTCAAGTATGATATTATTTCCATTTTGGGCCCAGACGCAGTTACCTTTAAGTCTTCT